CCCGTTGCAGCCCTTCGTGGCCCCCTCGCTGCCCTTTGTGGCCCCGTTGCAGCCCGTCGTGGCCCCCTTCGCTGCCCTTCGCCGCGGCCCCCGCTCGTTCGCGCCCGTCGTGGCCCCACGTGCATGCACTTCGTGGCCCCCCGTCGCCCTTCCCGGTCCCGTCGCTGCCCTATGCGGCCCCGTTGCTGCCCCCAGTGGCCCCGGCGTTGCCCTCTGTGGCCCCGCATCATCTGCCCTCGTGGCCCCCGCTCGTTCGCGCCTTTCGTGGCCCCGCTGTCGCCCTTCGTGGCCCCCTTCCTGCCCTTCGTTGCCCCGCTCTCGTTCTCGCTCTCGCTCTCGCTTTCGCTCGTCGTCGTCGTCGTCGTCGCCGTCGTCGTCGTCGTCGTCGTCGTCGGCGTCGACGCCGTCGTCGTCGTCGTCGTCGTCGTCGTCCTGGTCGGTTCGTTGTCCGTTTTTCTTGGGGTCTGGTTGCCGCCGATCATCGATGCCGCTGGTCAGGCCGACGGTCCGCGGCCGCCCAGCCGCTTGCCGGGGCCCGGCCTGCAAGTGCGAAATTTATGCCCCCAAGCGGGGCACGATCGCAGACGAAGAGGGCGGGCATCGATGGTTTGGGAAATACATGTTGAATGCAATTCCAGCAGATAATAGCGAACAGTCTTAACATGCTTGTTGTTGTTGTTGAACATTATTAATTCTAAAGAATAATTATTGTTGGGCCCCCTGGTGCGCGCCCCCCCCGCCGCGCCTAGGCCGCAGCCACGTTTTCATCATTTTCGTGAGGAAGCCTCAGGTAATTCGAGGTGATCAAGATCCGGTTGTTTTGTTCCCCCCCGCTTTCCCTTGCAAAAAACACTATAAAATGAAATTTCTTGTTCAAATATTATCAAATTTCAAGAATCCCTTGTAAAAAATAAGGTAAAGTGGACATTCGCGCGCGCAAGACGAAATCCTTCCAAAAGCTTAGTGTTCGGAACGATTTCAACATAAAAACATCAAAAAACCAATGGTTTTTCAACAAAAAAAATGTCAAAATCTCATCCCGCGCGCTCTTGCGGATTCGTAGGAAACCCAACATTTTTTCAACATTTCTGTCAAACGGGCTTTTGCGAGCAACTTTTTCGAACTTCTGCGACAACGGTTGCGCACCTGCCAGGGCCATCATCCCTGTCAAATAATACCATGCGGGACACATTCGTTTTTTCTTCGCGCGCGCACGCCGAAATCTCCAAAAACCATTGGGTTCTGTGGGTGTGTACCCCACGCCAGTGTAGTAGCCACGGTCGTCCGCACGCCACGAAGTGAAGTGTCCCAACGTCATAGGGCGGGAAGCTGGGTTTGGGTGGTCGCGAAGAGTCGTTTGGATATTTGGTAGAGCTTGTAATGCCCCCCCACGAAGTGGGGGTATTGCCTGGTGTCGTATGAAAACCCTGGCACTGGGGAGAACACCACGCGTTCGGGTAAAATGATTGTTGTTGTTGTTGTTGTTGTTGTTGTTCCCGTTCGAATCGTTGTTGTTGCTGTTCCCGTTGTTGTTGATATTGATCCCGTTGAGGTTTTTGTTGTTGTTGCTGCTGCTACTGCTGTGATTGTTACTATTGACAATGCTGATGTTGATGATGATGTTGTTGTGGTTGTTGTGGTTGTTATCGTCGTTGTTGTTGTTGTTGTTGCTGTTGTTGTCGTCATTGTTGTTGTTGCTGCCTTTTTTGTTCTTGTTGTTGTTGTGGTTGTTGTTGTTGTTATTGCGGTTGCTGTTGCTGTTGTTGTTGTTGTTTTTGTTGTTGTTGTTGTTGTTGTTGTTGTTGTTGTTGTTGTTGTTGCTGCTGCTGTTGTTGTTGATGTTGTTGTTGTTGACGATGATATTGACGAGAACGATGATGATGTTGTTGGTGGTGTTGTTGGTGATGATGTTGTTGTTGGTCTCGTAGTCGTAGTCGTAGTCGTAGTCGTAGTCGTAGTCGTAGTCGTAGTCGTAGTCGTAGTCGTAGTCGTAGTCGTAGTCGTAGTCGTAGTTGTAGTCGTAGTCGTAGTCGTAGTCGTAGTCGTAGTCGTAGTCGTAATTGTCGTCGTAGTCGTAGTTGTAGTCGTAATCGTCGTCGTAGTCGTAGTCGTAGTCGTAATCGTCGTCGTCGTCGTCGTCGTCGTCGTCGTCGTCGTCGTCGTCGTCGTCATAGGAGGTGCGGCGAGCCCGCCGCAGAACCGCGTCCTCGAGGGCGCAGGCCGGCGTGCTGGCGCTGTGCCTCCTCCTCCTCCTCCTCCTCCTCTTCCTCGTCATTGTCGTCGTCGTCGTCGTCGTCGTTTTCTTCCTCCTCCTCCTCCGCCTCCTCCTCCTTCTTCTGCTCCCCTTCCTCGTCCTCCTCCTCCTCCTCCTCCTCCTCCTCCTCCTCCTCCTCCTCCTCTCTGCTGCTGCTCCTCCTCCTCCTCATCCTCCTCCTCCTTCCCCCTGTCGTGGTATTGCCCCGGGAGGTCCATCGCCTCTTACGGGGACCAGCTGGGCAAGGCGGGCGGGCGGCGGGAAAAGCGGGGCGCGGCGCGGCGTGCCCTCCTCTCGCGCAGCTGCTGCGGCTGCTGTGGTGCTGCCGCTGCTGCTGTCGCTGCCGCCTCTCCGCCGCTGCCGTCACCACCTCGGCCGCCGCCGTCGCCACTCTGCTACCGCTCTCCTCCTCCTCCTCCTCCTCGTCCTCCTCCTCCTCCTCCTCCTCCTCCTCCTCCTCCTCCTCCTCCTCCCCCACGTCGTGCCTACCTAGAGATCCGACGCTTCAAACAAAATCGGAGCGGCGGGATTTGGCAGTTTTCGGCCCCGGGGGGCCCTGGCCGGGCCTCGGGATGGACCGAACTTATTGGAGCAGCTGGATGTCTGGGTCCTCCTCCCTCACTTCACCTTCCACTCGCTCTCCCCTTCCTCGCCTCCCCCCTCCCCCTCCTTCTCCTCCTCTCACTGTGCCGTGCCCTGCTCCTCCTCCTACTTCTCCTCTTTCTCCTTCTCTTCGTCTTCTTTCTGCTGCTGTTGAACTTTTAGTTATGAAAAATAATTTTTGTTGCGCCCCCCCCACTGGTGCATATTGTTTTTTCCTGATCAAAGTGGGCCCCTCGACGTTCGCACACTGTTTTTTGACAGGGAAAGTCTTGATGCTCAAACTGGGCCCCTGGCCCCCGGGTTGCAACAACAACGGCTCCCACATGAGACTTCCTCACAATTTAGCCAGGACCCCCGCTCCCGCCCGAGACTTCCTCGCATTTTATGCAGGAATCGCGCTCTCGCTTGGGACTTCCTTGCAATTTACGCAGGAATCGCTCTCCCGGCGTTCTGGAGTCGCGCTCTTGTTGAGACTTGCTTGCAATTTACTGAAGAATAGCGCCCTTGCGTTGGAATTTCTTGCAATTTGCTCAAGCGCCGCGCTCCCGACACCCAGGCACCCAGGAGTCGCGCCCGTTGTGGCCCCATGTGCATGCCCTTCGTGGCCCCGCTGTCGCCATTTGTGTCCCCCTCATTGTCCTACGTGGCCCAGTTGCTACCCTCAGTGGCCCCATCGTTGCCTTCTGTGGCCCCGCATTATCTGCCCTTCGTGGCCCCCGCTCGTTCGCGCTCTTCGTGGCCCCATATGCATTCCCTTCGTGTCCCCGCTGTCGTCCTTCGTGGCCTTCTTCGTGTCCTTCGTGGCCCTGCTGTCGTTCTCTCTCGCTCTCGCTTTCGCTCGTCGTCGCCGTCGTCGTCGTCGTCGTCGTCGTCGTCGTCGTCGTCGTCGTCGACGTCGTCGTCGTCGTGGTTGGTCCCATGTCCGTCCCTCTTGGGGTCGGGTCGACGGTCCGCGGCTGCCCCGCCGATCAGCGCTGCCGCTGGCCAGGCCGACGGTCCGCGGCCGCCCCGCCGCTTGCCGGTGCCCGACCTGCAGAGAAGAAAGGTATACCCCCAAAAAGGGGTTCGATCGAAGACGAAGAGGGCGGTTATCGAGGGTTTGGGAAATTCGCGTTATTGGACACTCGAGCAGATAATGGCGAACAATCTTGAAATGATTGTTGTTGTTGAACATTATTTATTCTAAAGAATAATTATTGTTGGGCCCCCTGGTGCGCGCCCCCCCTGCGCCGCCTAGGCCGCAGCTACATTTTCATCATTTTCGTGAGGAAGCCTCAGAAAAGAGGGTGTGTACAGGATCCGGTTGTTTTGTTGTAATCCGCTTTCCCTTGCAAAAAACAATAGAAATGACATTTCTTGTTCTAATATAATCAAATTTCAAGAATCCCTTGCAAAAATAAGGTAAAGTGGACATTCGCGCGCGCAAGACGAAATCCTTCCAAAACCTTAGTGTTCGCAGCGATTTTAACATAAAAACATCAAAAAACCAATGGTTTTTCAACAAAAAATTGTCAAAATCTCATCCCGCGCGCTCTTGCGGATTCGTAGGAAACCCAACACTTTTTAAACATTTCTGTCAAACGGGCTTTTGCGAACAACTTTTTCGAACTTCTGCAACAACGGTTGCGCACCTGCCAGGGCCATCATCCCTGTCAAATAATACCATGCGGGACACATTCGTTTTTTCTTCGCGCGCGCACGCCGTCGTCGTCGGCCGCGGGGCCCTGAATAGTAGCCACGGTCGTCCGCATGCCACGAAGTGAAGTGTCCGAACGTCATAGGGCGGGAAGCTGGGTGTGGGTGGTGGCGAAGAGTCGTTTGGAAATTTGGTAGAGCTTGAACCGGCCCCCCCACAAAGTGGGGGTATTGCCCGCCTCCTATGAAAACCCTGGCACTGGTGAGAACGGAGTGTCCCCACGTGCTAGTAATTGTTGTTGTTGTTGTTGTTGTTGTTGTTGTTGTTGTTGTTGTTGTTGTTGTTGTTGTTGTAGAATTCTCATTTCTGAAGAATAATTATTGTTGATCCCCCACCGGTGCATACGGTTTTTTCTCAATCAAAGTGTGCCCCTCGACTCTCGCACCCTGTTTTTTGACAGGGAAAGTCTTCCTGCTCAAACTGGGCCCCTGGCCCCCGGGTTACAACAACAACAACAGCAGCTCCCGCCTGAGACTTCCTTGCAATTTAGCCAGGACCCCCGCTCCCGCCCGAAACTCCATCGCATTTTATGAAGGAATCGCGCTATCGCTTGGGACTTCCTTACAATTTATTCAGGAATCGCTCTCCCGGAGCTCTGGAGTCGCGCTCTCGCTGGAGACTTGCTTGCAATTTACTGAAGAATAGCATTGCGTCAAGCGCCGCGCTCTCGACACCCAGGCACCCAGGAGTCGCGCCCGTTGTGGCCCCATGTGCGCGCCCTTCGTGGCCCCGCTGTCGCCATTTGTGTCCCCCTCATTGTCCTACGTGGACCAGGTGCTACCTTCAGTGGCCCCATAGTTGCCTTCCGTGGCCCCGCATTATCTGCAATTCGTGGCCCCCGCTCGTTCGCATTCTTCGTGGCCCCATACGCATTCCCTTCGTGTCCCCGCTGTCGCCCTTCGTGGCCTGCTTCGTGCCCTTCGAGGCCCTGCTGTCGTTCTCTCTCGCTCTCGCTTTCGCTCGTCGTCGCCGTCGTCGCCGTCGTCTTCGACGTCGTCGTCGTTGTCGTCGTCGTCGTCGTCGTCGTCGTCGTCGTCGTCGTGGTCGGTCCCCTGTCCGTCCCTCTTGGGGTCGGGTCGACGGTCCGCGGCCGCCCCGCCGATCAGCACTGCCGCTGGCCAGGCCGACGGTCCGCGGCCGCCCCGCCGCTTGCCGGGCCCGGCCTGCAGGGAAGAAAGATATACCCCCCAAAAGGGGTTCGATCGAAGACGAAGAGGGCGGGTATCGAGGGTTTGGGAAATACTCGTTATTGGACACTCGAGCAGATAAGGGCGAACAGTCTTGAAGATTGTGTTGTATGTTGTTGTTGTTGTTGTTGGTGTTGTTGTTGTTGAACATTTTATTCTAAAGGAGCATAATTATTGTTGGACCCCTTGTGCAGGCCCTGGGCGCTAGCCGCAGCTTCATTTTAGGAGCATCCCGTGAGGAAGCCTCAGGTATTCGATGTGATCAAGATCCGGTTGTTTTGTTCCCCCCCGCTTTCCCTTGCAAAAAACACTATAAAATGACATTTCTTGTTCTAATATAATCAAATTTCAAGAATCCCTTGCAAAAAATAAGGTAAGTGGACATTCGCGCGCGCAAGACGAAATCCTTCCAAAAGCTTAGTGTTCGGAGCGATTTTAACATAAAAACATCAAAAAACCAATGGTTTTTCAACAAAAAAATGTCAAAATCTCATCCCGCGCGCTCTTGCGGATTCGTAGGAAAACCAACACTTTTTAAACATTTCTGTCAAACGGGCTTTTGCGAGCAACATTTTCGAACTTCTGCGACAACGGTTGCGCACCTGCCAGGGCCATCATCCCTGTCAAATAATACCATGCGGGACACATTCGTTTTTTCTTCGCGCGCGCACGCAGAAATCTCCAAAAACCATTGGGTTCTTAAGAATTTTAGCACCGCGCATCATAAAAAAATCTTCATCGGGGCACACCATATCCTCTCTTCTTGTGTATCCACATCCCTCAGGAATTTGCCCCTAAAGATGTGATCAATCTATCTTGTGCGCTACGTATCGTGTGTATCATGTGTATCATGATACCATATGATCATATGAAACAGATGTTTCTGGTGGAAGGCTTAAACACTTCTGTGGTGTGTTAACAGGTCTTACAACTTTGTGGGTTGTACGAACGTAGGCTTAATCAATTTGTGTGGGTGTGTACTCCACGCAGTGTAGTAAGCACGTCGTCCGAGGCACGAAGTGAATGTCGAACGTATAGGGCGGGAGCTGGGTGTGGGGTGGTGGCGAAGAGTGTGTGGATATTTTGAAGAGTTGCACAGCCCCCCCACGTGGGGGTATTGGCTGAGTGGGGGTATTGGCTGGCGTCGCATGAAAACCCTGGCACTGGTGAGAACACTGAGCGTTCGGGTAAAGTGATTGTTGTTGTTGTTGTTGTTGTTGTTGTTGATTCTGTTGAATTCTCAATTCTGAAAAATAATTATGGTTGATCCCCCCTACCAGTGCATATTGTTTTCTTCAATCAAAGTGCGCCCCTCGACGCTCGCATCCTGTTTCTGACAGGGAAAGTCTTCCTGCTCAAACTGGACCCTTGGCCCCCGGGTTACAACAACAACGACTCCCGCTTGAGACGTCCTTGCAATTTAGCCAGGGTTACCGCTCCCGCCCTAGACTTCCTCGCATTTTATTGAGGAATCGCGCTCTCGCTTGGGACTTCCTCTCAATTTATTAAGAAATCGCTTTCCCAGCGCTCTGGAGTCGCGCTCTCGCTGGAGACTTGCTTGCAACTTACTGAAGAATGCCCTTGCGTTGGAGTTTCTTGCAATTTGCCCAAGCGCCGCGCTCCCGACACCCGGCTCCCAGGAGTCGCGCCCGTTGTGGCCCCATGTGCACGCCCTTCGTGGCCCCGCTGTCGCCATGTGTGTCCCTCTCAGTGTCTTACGTGGCCCAGGTGCTACCCTCAGTGGCCCCATAGTTGCTTTC